ACTTTGAAACTGTTGCAGAAAGCTTGGTCCTTGTTCCCGATGCCAATCCAATAACAAGGACATGGTTTAGAGAAAAAGGAAAAAGACGATTTATTGCTTAGCTACCAAAGGAGAAACACAGGGGCGTCCTGTCCCAAAGGCTGTGATTCTGCTCATCTGCAGGAACAGGGAGCTTTTATAGAGGTGATTCAGAGAAAATGGGATTAGGGAGGAGAGATCAGGAAGGAGAAGATCAGAGGAAAGAGGAGCAGGGAGAAGTTTAGGGAAAAGAAGATTGGGAAGAAGATTGTAAGTTCCAAAGTCACAAGGGACATAGTCAAAGCATCATGTGAATCTATTACAGAACGACTTGAAACACTTTCTGTTCTTTGTAAAATCTTCAGCCCTTCTGTCTACAAAACCCATCTCTGCTCCGAGGAGCCCTATTCCCATGGAATGACACATTGCCCAATTCTAGAACAGCAAATAAGGCCAATTAAGATTGCTAAATTCAATTGTCGTCATTTTGTCCTTGACCGGGTGAACAAAACAAAGCTCCCTGACCTCTTGGAGCCAATATTCAGTGTCCACACGGTGCAAGTCCACATCAGTCCTCCCTGCCTGTGAGACCCTCTTTCTTTTCCCTCTTCTCCCTCCATCAACCACGGGCCATTACCCTGTGTCCCCTTGCCCTATTGTCCCTCCTGTGCTTCACCAGGAAACCCCAATTCTGGATGCCCCCCACCTGCCTTTTCCATCGTCTGGGACTGCGATACAGAATAGCCATGCCACCTTGCAGGCCAGGCGGGGACACCACAGACAAGCACCTCCCTCGGCCCTGCTTCTCTCCTCTCCGCCGCCCCCTCCCTCCAATCCAGAGCTCTCCTCATGGCCAATCTCCCTCCCTCCAATCCAGAGCTCTCCTCATGGCCAATCTCCCTCCCTCCAATCCAGCAGCCACCTCATGGCCCTGGCCTCCCAGAGCCCTCCTGGTGCTACAGCCAGCCCTACTCAGGATCCCAGACCCTTCCCAGGCTGCACAGTGCCCAGCTCCACTCTGTCCACTTTCACACCTGCTCCCTCCTCGTCGTCTCTCTCTTCCTATAGAATCTTCCAGGCCATTTAAATTTGTTCCCGTCTCTCCCATTTTTGAAGCAAAACTGAACAAAACTCCCTCCACATCCGTTCTGYCCCTCTACCTTCTCCTCAGCCCAGCCCTCCAGGGCTGCCTACACGTACCAGTGGCTCCCCTGACTCCTGTCTGTGGCAGCCTGGCTTCTCCCCAGGGACTCTCACCAAGGCCCCCACTGACCACATGCCGCAGCCTCTGTCTCGCATGTCCTGGCCGGCGCTTCGCCTTCCTGTCTCTCTGGAACTTCCAACCCAGCGTCTCTGTCTCCTCCTGTCCTCTTCTCACCCCCGAGGAYGGCTGGGCACCTGATTCCTGGTCCTACATTCTCTGCCTCAGCCACCTCTGCTCCAGTCTCTGATCAATCTGCCAACAACCGTCCACTCACAGGGCTGTACCATGCGAATCTTGACTCCTCTATTCTCCTTTCCAGGGATAGACAGGGGTTGGACAGCCTGGCCCCTCAGAAGCAGCTCTGGGCTCCTCTTGATTCTCCAGAGTCTGAGGATGTGCAATCCAGCGCCCAGCAGCTCTGAGTGGCAGGATCAGGGAGAGTGAAGCAGTCAGCCACCATGGTAAATGTGGACCAGTCGCTGGTACCAGTGAGAGCTAGGAGACAAGAGCTAATGGGGACATGGTTTTGCCCCAAAGGACTATCCCCGCAAGGCATGCTGGGTGCTGCCACCTGCATGGCAGGTGGCAGTGTGACTGTGTTACTAGTAGGATCGGGTCCATGTTCCACAGAGATGAAGAAGGAACATGGCGATAAACAAGCAGAAATTTCTTAAAGAGGAGGTCAAGGTTCAGACATATAAGAAAGCTCCCAGTGGAGTGCATGGAGGGCAGGAGTGCCAACCGGGGGCAGGAGTGCCACCGGGTTGCCTGACATCCCTTCTTTTAAAGGCCCAGGGTGGAAGTTGACTGGCCTCCTTGTAAACTGTCCTTGAGATTTTAATTGTCATGTGGGTGTGCTCAGGCTGAATTGCATGGTTGTCTTTTTTTTGTTTGTTTGTTTTTTAAGAATGGAGTCTTTTTCCCCTTTTGGGAAATAGATGTTGCTTGACGAGTTGGAGCACATCAAATGGTGGAGCATGGCTCAAACAGTGGTCCTGACAGGGTCCTCCTTATGGACCTCACTGCCTGMCTGTTTCCCTGCCTCATTGTGACTGTGCTGTCTTTGCAGAGCTTCAGCAGCTCCGGGGCACCACCTAGCACTCACCTTTTCTGCTGCCACACTCCACTTCCCCTCACACAGACTTAGCAAGTAAGCTCACACACCCAGCATGAGAAATACTACACTGCTGTGAAAAATGATGACACGATCATTTCACACCTGCCTGGGTGGCTAGAATCAGAAGGTCAAATAAGAAGTGTTGGAGAAATCAGAGGCCTCATGTGCTGCTGGTGGGGATGTAAAACGATGCTGCTGCCTGGGAAGAATCGAGCAGCTCCTCATGTGATTACACATGGCTTCCAAGTGACCCACTTCCAAGTGATCCCAGTCATTCCATCCAAGAGGAATGAMCATGCACACAGCCTGTGCAGGTGTGCTTATAGCAGCATTATTCATAACAGCCAGAAAGCAAACAACACAGATATCCACCAGGTAAATAAAATGCRGTATATCCATACGATGGAACATTATTCACCCCTAAGAAGGAATAAAGTGCTAGCACGTGCTGCAACAGGGTGTGTCCTGAAATCATTGGGCTAAAGCCAATCACAAAAAAACCACATATAATATGACCCCATTCATGTGAAAGTCCAGAACAGGAAACCTATAGAGACAGAAAGTAGGTGAGTGGTTGCCTGGGGCTGGGATTGAGGTGCAGGAGTGACAGTGACTATGGTGATGGTTGCACACTTCTATGAATAAAATAAAAATCACTGGATTGTCCACTTTAACTGGGTGAATAGTGCTGTATATAAATTGGATTTCAATAAAGTGTCAAAAATGATGCCATACTCTATATTGATTGACTCTGAGATGTTTGTGGCCACTTAAGAACTAGTGTCATCACATATAAAGTATGATATGATCCTATTTTTAAAAAACACACATTTATACATAGGAAGAATATCTGGGGATACACTCCTACCTCCAAATGTTAACAGGTGGTAGCATTATCAATGATTCTTTTWAAAAATTCTCTCCATATTTTCTAAATGTTTAAAAATGAATGTGATGCTTTTATATTAAAAATAATATATTAGTCACCTACCTAATTACATATTCATTAACATTATAAGGGGGGAAATGGCAGGAATACTGACTAAAGGCAAGTAAACTGCTCAATGCATGCTCTGCGTGGAAGGCAAGGGGCCATTCTGGCCAGCCCTTCAGTCCCCCGAGTTAAGCACCTGGGGAAATGTACCAAAGCCAGAGGTCTCCCTTGACTCCATGATTGCTCTGTACCCATGGGGCTTACCAGGCTGCTCTCCAGGGATTTGGGGAGAAGGGATGGCAAGGTGGTTAGTCCATCAACAAAGTGAACTCCCCAGCAGTAGCAGCACATCAGAATACCCAGGAACACATTCTCTGAGTGTTTAACCTGGAGCGGCTGATAGCTGGGCAGAATGGCCCCTTCTCTTCTAGGCAGAGTTTGCATTTAGTAGAGAAATTAAATCACTAGAATAGCCTCACTTAGAGATGAGTCAATTTCAAACCTGTGTTTAAATATAGTTTCTGATGGTGAGGCTGGGTCTCCATAAGTCCATTCAAACTCTTCCACTGTCACTAACCTCCATGGCCTTCATTTATGAGGGCACACTGACACACTCAGCCTAAGATTAGGACCCCAACAGCCCTTGAAGGAACCCACAGAAACTGCCCCCAGGTATCCCTCCACAGTGCTGAAGGGCATTTTGGTCTGTGCATCGGAGCAGCYACAAGGTCTAGGGCCCCAGGAGGCCCAGAGTTCAGGTCCTGGGCTCCTATGGTCCAGGTGCAGATGAGAGGAGGGGCAGGGGAGTGGGGAGACAGGGTGGTTTCAACACGGATGTGGGTAGGCTAGATGAAGGACTGGACGGCCTCTTTTCGCACTGAGCACAAGCAACACGGAAACGCATACAGTGTCCTAAGCTGTGCACCTGAACATAAGTGATGTTACAATGGAAAGAAACATCTGGACTGTTACTGGGAGGGCCTGGGGCCAGGCAGAATGGCACGAGCAACAGAGATCCAAGTGCGACTTGGCACCCTGGGAGGTGAGGAGCCTGTGCGGCTCACTGGGCCTCGCAGACCTGGATCACCCGGCTACAGGAGGCCGCCTGCTGAAGACCGGCATCCCGGCCCACGGGTTTGGGGACGGGACGCGTGCCCTGCTTTAGGGCCAGGCTGCCACGTCCGCGCACCGCCCCATCAGCAGCTCGGTTCACCGCGGCGTCTCCCAGCTCGCGCCCAGGGACCGGCCGCTGCTGGCGGGGGCTGAGACGGAGCCGGTTYCTGGAGGTGTCCACGGGGCGCTCTCGCTCTCGGCACCAGCCGCGGAGGTCCTAGCCCCTGGCAGCCGGGCAGYTGTTCCGATTTTGCTGTCAATAAGCGCAGCGCTCAGGTCTACGCGAATACGTGCGTGCACAACCGTCGCGCGGGAGCCGGGGCCGGGGCGGCGGAGCCCGCGCTCCCTCCCGCGGGACCGCGCTCCTGCCCGAGCGCGCGTGCCGGACGCGGGTCGCGGTGGCGTGTGCGCACGTCATATGGGCCGCCCACCTCTCATTGGCTGCGGCCGCCTCACCAGACCCAGTGCGGACGGGCACGCGGGCGGGGCGGGGCCAGGCGAGGCCACGCCCCTGGGCGGTGCGGGCGGGCGGCGGGTAGGCCGGGTTGGGTCACGTGGTGTGGGGCCGTGGCCCGCCTTATAAGCCGCGCGCCCGCCYGGCGCCGCGGCCGCACTTGGGCCGTCCCGGGCGCGCCGCCTCCTCTGCCGCTGCCCCGCCTCCTCTTGCCGCTCGCGGGTCGTGGCGGGTGCCCCTCGCAGGTACGCGAGCGCGGGGCCGGGGGCACCGGGGCCGGGGCGGGCCGGCTCTGCGCGGGACGCCGGCGGGGCGGGGCGGGCAGGGGGCCGCGGCCGGCCTTTGTCTCCCCGACGCGAGCGCCGCGGTGACTTCTGCGCGTCCTTCCTGCAGGAGCCCTCCGCGCGGCGGGCACCGATGCCCAGGCTGCACGACCACTTCTGGAGCTGCCCCTGTGCCGGCGCCGCCAGGCGCCCGAGCCCCCAGAGAGCCCGCGCCGCGAAGCCGGTGGCCGAGCTCGGAGACATGAGCGCCCCCGCAGCCCAGGCCACGGGCACAGACCCCTCGCCTAGGGGCCCGCGGGCCGGGGCGAGCGGCCGGGCCAACAGCTGGCACCATGACCTGGTGCAAAGGAGCCTCGTGCTCTTCTCGGTCGGGGTCGTGCTGGCCCTGGTGCTCAACCTGCTGCAGATCCAGAGGAATGTCACGCTCTTCCCCGACGAAGTCATCGCCACCATCTTCTCCTCCGCCTGGTGGGTGCCCCCGTGTTGCGGGACGGCGGCGGGTGAGTGCCCTTCTTGTTCTTGTGGGGCAGAACTGGAGATGTCCTTTCTGTCAGAGTCGCTTTGGGCCATAAGGAACGTGTATTTGAAAATGGAACCACCCACAGATAAAAACTGGGCATCCCGTGTTGTATTTAGGGAAAGGAAAGGGACCGGACAGAGTAGGGAGTCCCCGATGCTGGCCAAGATAACAGCTCTGAAGTTTGAGGAACCAGTGATGGAGATGAGGTCAGGAGATAATTGGCTGTTTGAGCAAACAGCTGGCCCGGATAGAGGAGTCCCAGCCCTGTAGTGTCCAAGCTCACCAGGAGCAGCTGTCACCCAAAGCTACGGCCGCAGGATTGGCTGCCTGGAGAACTGGTGAGGCAGTGCTGCCAGGCTATTGGCTGTCCCAGCAGACATGCTACCCTGCTGGACAACTGAAAACAAACCCTCACGTGCTCAGGAGGCGGTTGCCAAGGGAGCAGCTTCCCAGCACTTCCTTCTGCAGATGGCCCTGGGCCTGGCCTGGAGCCAAGGCATCACCCATAACACCCCCTCCCACCAAGGGCACAAGAGAGTCCCTCCTTGAGAGTTTAGATTTGGGCACACCTGACCTGTCAGAGACATTTTGGAACCCAACATGGGCCAGTTAGTGTGAACTGCCATTTTTGTTTTGTTTTGTTTTTTAGAAAAATTTCTTAGTTATCATTTAGCAAGTTTGTAAAATGGTGAATGATTGTGGCCCAGCCAGTCATTTAACATTCCTCTAGTCATGGAGCATCTGTTTATTGAAGGCATTGCAGATGCTCTCTGCAGCCTCACTCTGCAAGCTGTTGAACTATGAAAGGGAGCAGAGCCAGCCCAGTCCTGAGGCGGTGGGGAAAACAAACTGGCTCTGAGTAACTCAGAACAGCGGGAACAGCATCGAGGGTGCTTTGTAGCTGACTTTTATTGACAGCTTCCTTAGGCTTTGTAAGCTGTGGCTCCATTTTACAGACGGGGAAGCTGAGTCACAGTTAAGTGTAATGTCCAGTGTACTGGCTGCCACAGCTATTAAGCCCTCTGCTCGGAGGCTCAGTACAGGGGCAAAAGTCTTGTTGTGGAGCTGTTTGTTTCAGCAAGGCAGGACACTGCCAAGTTTTCATCTGTGTTTCAGAACGGTGGGATCCTGCTGTTCTCTAAACCTTTAAGGGGTGGCTATACTAATTGAAAGTCCTTTTTGAAGAATTCCATGTTCCATATACATTTGACTAGTAGTTTCTTTGAACCAAAAGCTTGATCTTCAAAATCAAATTTGAATTTGTAATTGACTCTTCACGAGTTCCAGGAGTATCTGAAATGGTTTCTCATGCTCTTATCTGAATGTTTAGTTGAATCTACATCTCTTCACTGTGGAAGAACCTAAAAGCCTGAGATTTTCATGACAAGGGAATTGACAGCCTGTCTCCTGAGTTCCCATGCTTGGATGTGGTTTACTCGTGAACTCTGTCCCACAGTGCCACCCTGGCAGACCCATGTCCCGGGTGGACTGTAGGGAGTTTGTTCATCCCCTCCTTTGTTTTGTGCGTGCTGCTTCTCTTCTGGGAAGAGACCTTCCCATTGTCCAGTAGCTAAGACTCCAAGCTCAGGGATGTCTTCCTGCTCTACCCTCCAGTTACATAATCATCAKCATTTCACACATGAGAAAACAAACACCAGGAGCCACGTCCATCCAAGGCCAACTGGGACTAGCAGCTGAGTTTCCTCTTTATGGGCCTGTACTTTCCACAGCTTGGGACTTAGGTCCCTGGCAGCCAAAGAAACCAGAGTGTGATGGCCTTACATACCAGTAGCCTCAGTCTCCTAGAGTAACTGCAGGAGCCCCTTAAAACTTGAGTCCACTGTCCCTCCATGGGCATGGGACCCAGCTCCAGCGCTGGGTGGCAGCAGGAGTGTCAAACTGTGATGTGACTTGGGGCCACAAGTGTTCACGGATGCTCACCTCTCCATTGTAAAACGGAGGTGGTATGTGGCCATTTCAGTTTTGTGCTTGAGGGAGGCTGAATATTAGATACTGCAAGATCAAATATTATTATTAATATGGATCATTTAATCCTCTGCTTTTGATTCATTTCTAGGTTTATTGGGACACGTTTAAAAAGCAGTGATTTTTCTTTTTAACTTTTCAAAATGGTGATCTGGATGGAAAGTACTGTAAAGTAGATATCATGTTCAAGCTGATGAACTTCCTAGAAACAGGCCTGGTCTGAGTGTTCCTGCCCACCACGGGGAAGCTGTAGTTTTCAGCTGGTGTGTTCTTCCTTTCCACAGCGGTTGTCGGCTTGCTCTACCCATGTATTGACAGTCACCTTGGGGAGCCCCACAAGTTCAAGAGGGAGTGGGCGAGCGTCATGCGCTGCATTGCCGTCTTCGTTGGCATCAACCATGCCAGCGCCGTATCCTTTCACCCACGTGCTGTGTCTAGAGCATGGTCTGGGGCTATGTCAAAGCATATCAGGACTTTTATTGAGTATTTAGTATTCATTATCTCATCCAAGTATTTTATTTTAAGGTATATTACATAGTTTTCACCTAGCGGGACTTTAAGGTGCAAGTTCTAGCGTCCTTTATAGATCATTTCAGGAAACAGTTGGCATAATACCAGAAGCAGGGTGGATTGCCAGAATCGGAGGCCACACCTGTAATACCAGTGGCTTGGGAGGCTGAGGCAGGAGAATTGTAGGTTCAAAGTGAGCCTCAGCAACTTAGTGAGACCTGTCTCAAAATAAAAAGGGCTGGAGATGTGTCTTAGTGGCTAAGCGCCTKTGAGTTCAGTCCTTAGTAATCCACCCGCCCTGCAAAAAGAAGTCAGAGGTCCTCTCTTTCTCAGCAGTTATCATTTAGCTCCTGGGAGTTCGTTTTATCAATTCACTTTATGTGTCTCCCTTGTCCTTTCAGCAGATGTGATGGCTCTCCTGGCAAAGAGGACTACCCCAGGGTGTGGCTGTTGGCACCACATCTCACTAGGAGGTGTCTAAATTTGTCCCTCTGCCCACAGAAGGCCAAGGACAATTGTGGAAGGCCCCTGGCCTCTGGCACCCACAGGTGTGCTGTGTGCCATGCACCGTGCATTTCTCAGGAAGGCAGTCCAGAGTTTACCAGGGAGCCCTTAGGATTTAGGATTTCTTYAGAGCAAGTTGGAGGGAATGATTTTTAGTATTGCAGATTCTGAAGTCTGTTTCCCCCTATTTAATGGTATATAAGAGAGTCCTGGTAAATCAGTTGACAAGCACAGCTGTAGCAGACTGGAGCCTGTTGAGCTGGGTGCCATACTGACTATGTGTCTGCTGTGGACGTGAAGGCCTGGCCTGTTCACTTCAGACTGCTGAGAAGGAGAGAAGGGGAACTGTAGATGGCTTCATAGCAAAGTGTTGGCTGGCGGCCAAAATACCAACAGAATTTCATGCATGGCTTTCAGAAAGTTCAGAGAGAGAGAGAGAGAGAGAGTGTGTGTGTGTGTGTGTGTGTGTGTGTGTGTGTGTAGGGGGCAGTGCTGGGATGAAACCCAGGGCCTTGAACACGCTAGCCATGCCCTCTACCTTGAGCCACATTCCCTGCCCAAGAAAGCTCCTCCTTAAAGCTAGGCTTTGCCTGGTGGTCCCGTGAAGATCTAGGGTCTGCTGGCCGTGTGGTTGTCATGGATGGGGAAGATTTATTGGATAATAAAGACTTGCACATAGCTCCTATGGTTTTTGATCTTATGGAAAAGTCATTAAACTTTTCCTTAACTTTGCTATCACCAGAAGTTGGATTTTGCCAATAATGTCCAGCTGTCTCTGACCTTGGCAGCTCTGTCCCTGGGCCTCTGGTGGACATTTGACCGTTCCAGAAGTGGCCTGGGACTTGGGATCACTATAGCCTTCCTAGCGACTCTGATCACCCAGCTTCTCGTGTACAATGGAGTCTACCAGTAAGTATGTGTCTTCAGGCTACTTGTGTGGACAGAAGGACCCATTATATTTAGGTATTTTCTTGTTTTWTTTGGCTTTTGTGCTAAATTACAGATTTAGGTTTGAAATTCTCAAAACGCTGCTTACTCTCAACTCACATACTAAAAGCACACTGTCCGTACTTCCCGTAAGGAAAACTGAGTCGGGGCAGTGAGACGCGTCATTCCTGTGTTGGCAGTTGGCAGCATTTTTGGCGTCTAGTATCCTCTATCACAGAAGATCTTTGGCCCGGAAGCCAGCGGGTGAGACTGACTGGGCGTTTTTCCTTCCAGGTACACATCCCCAGATTTCCTCTACATCCGCTCCTGGCTCCCGTGTATATTTTTCTCAGGAGGTGTCACAGTGGGAAACATAGGACGGCAGCTGGCCATGGTAAGTCTCCCACACTGGACACTGCCAAGTCTTGCTGGTAGAGTTGCTGTATGTGGTACATTGTAGTTTGTGCTGATGTGTGTCTAGTTCAGAATCATTAACAACAATTATTGAGAAAAGGTTATGAAAGCGGGAATGATACTTGGGTACTTCTTTACCAAATTATAAGGTTTCTGTATTTTTCGACTCATGATGTCTGTGCTAGAAAGAAACCATTGAGTCCTAGTGCAGCCCTTCGCCTTGCACGGGTGCCTCCCCTCAGCTGTGGACTGACTGCAGCTCAGGCTGGGCCAGTGTGCAGACCAGGGGACAGCCTGGATAGGCGGGCACTGCCCTTCCAGGGGACCTGTGGACTTGGGCCTGCCTGGGATGGCGTCACTCGGAGCAGGATGCTCATCGAGTGATTGCCCTCTGGGCGGGCTGTCCACCTGCTCTCCAGGAAGAGGAGGAAGTGCCACTCAGAGCATTTCCCGAGAGTTGGAAAGGACGATTAGTGGTCACCTTCAGGAGGTAAAAACTGGCATTTGAACACTTCAATTAAAGCAAATGGGGACATTTAAATGTTGTTTCAAGATGACTTTGACTCAAGGGCTTAAGTAAAGTGAACTAAAAAAAGCAACTAGAACCATTGTTCTCAGAGATAAACTCTGGCTTTCTCAAGACTTATCTTGGTGCTTTATGCTGTTTTTGGAATGGTTCRTTTATTTATATGAGCTGATGGCCATTCGTGAGGAGCTGAACTTAAAGGCTACTTTGTTTTTTAACAAAAATAGAAATCGGTTTAAAAACAATAGAATTTGGAGTGTTCTACTGGCTTCTGAATCTAAAACGTCTCTCTTCTGGTCTGGTTGTTCTCCACTTAGCTGCCAAAACAGAAATCACTCCATGGAGAAAGCTGTTTCTCACGACCCCTCATGGAGAGTCAGGACTCTGCCTCAGTGGATGCACATAGCCAGCCCCTTCCTTCACCTTCAGCACCTGCCCCTTACACCACCTCTTAGTTCTGAGAGCAGCTGGGCCACTTGTAACTGCTGGTGTTTGGAGATTCTTATTTTAGTAGTCTTGGACAGAGAATCCCTGGGAAGACTTTTGGAATAAGACAGCCAAGCTGACCAGCAGCTGAACAGTAGTCACGAGTTGGCTGCTGCTTCAGGAAGCTGCCCTGGTGCCATGTCTGATGGYGAAGGCTTTGAGTCAGTTCTAGGAACTAAGCACTCGGGTAGAGTAGAAGTTTCATAGTATATACATGTCCTCAACATCTAGAAATTGAGGAAACATTTTTTAAAAGTCGCATAAATGCAAAGTTTTGAAGATGGTCCTACTGAGTGACCCTTGCAGTGAGCCTGCTGTGTGTTTCTTGGTCTCGTAAAACGCCTTCCTGTTCTTACTGGGGTCCCCTCCTTTAAGAGCATTTGCTACCTGCAAGGACACCTTGCCCAGCAGCTCTCAGGCCCCGTGCTCTCCAACGGGCTAGAAGTTTCTTCTATGTGGAATTTTTTATTATTTTTCCTAAAAGCCATTTTCCTTTGRGTCCAAAAATATAGCTCAAGCGTTCGTCCTCAGCCCATGTGTTTAAAAGAAAGTGAGAGTGTTCAGCACTCAGCATCTGTGCTTGCTGTTTGTACTTTGTTTTTTTCTCAAGAATGAGGCTTCAAACTGCTGCCTGTTGGCCACCTACCCCCATCCAGATTGCCTTTCTTGTCCCTGGTTCCTGTTGACCCAGCTCCTGCCACTCGGGATGAGAGCTGTGTGGTTGCCCTTRAGGCTCACATTTACGGAGTACTTGCTGCTGTGTGAGATGCCGGGCTGTGCACTTTCCTTGTTAGCTAATGAGCCCGTGTTACTCAATACTTTAAAGTAGAAATTTTTATTAGCCCATTATAAATGGGGAGCTTTTCACCCATGTGGGTGGATTTGAGCCACACTTCTCATAGGATACCAAATGCCCTTTTAACCTATAGCTCATGACTGTCCCTCATCCTCCAAATAAGTTTTTAAAATCTCTTGGTAGCCTAGACACTTTGTTGCCATTTAAAATACATTACATTAGGCAGTRCTGATGAAGGTCAAGTCATGATCTGTCTGGCCACCTGCTGTGTTCTCCATAGTCACCTGTGTTCTTACACTAGGCCAGACCTAACTTTGGTCTCCTGTAGGCCATGGATTCTGAATTGTTCCTGTTGTTTATCAGTCAGTGCATTGGCAGGTGGTAAAATGTGACAGCAGTGTCATTTCTAGGTTACTGGCAAGAACTTGTCCTTTCTTTTCTCTCAGTTGAAGTTTGTTCAGAACCTCCCTCATGTCCCCGTTCACAGTATCTTCTTCAAGTCACCATTGGATAAAAGTTAGGAGCTCCCTAGAGCTTACACATCATTGCCATGCCAAAGCCACCAAGGGGGCGTTTCYAAGACTCTGTTCTGACTTGTCTCTTCTATGAGGCAGCCTCAGAGTTTTCTGGCTGAGAATCCTAATGTCTGGTACCTGGCTTTCGAAGCATGGTGCCTAGGGGGAGGGAGTGGAGTGGAGGGCACTGGATGCAGAGAGAGGCAGTGTGCCGAGCCGCCTCTGCCCTCGGAGCAGCTGCCTGGCCTCAGGAGAATTTTTAGGTTTCTCTGGGTCTGCTCATCAACCAGACGTGGTCTTGTACTGAGGTTTTACATTTTGCCTGCAATGATGATGATCCAGGGGTCTGGTGAGGGTCACGTGAGAAAGGATGGGGAGATGTCATTTGGTGTTCCAAAACCTGACCTGTCCCAGATGTCTGTACTGACAGACCGCTGGCAGACTGCAGCCTCAAGTGAGCAGGCTGACCTGAAAGGGACAGTCCTTAGCCCCACTTTGGGAGCACCTGTTGCCAAGAGCATCGCCATGCCTCCGCGGTGCTGAGTACACTGGTGCGGCCCTGCTCCTCTTGGTGTCTCACACTCCTACAGCCTCCTGGGAGGGCTCTGGCAGCTCACCCACCTGCAAGGTGGAGCCAGACTGAGTGCAGGTAGCAGGGGCACAGGTGGCTGTGGCTGGCAGGTCAAAGGAATTTTTACCTTTCACCTTTTAGGGCCTAAGGAGGATATTTACTCACAGGTTATTTACACACAGCACTCAATTTTCCTTTTTTCTTTCTTTTTCCACATAGGGTGTTCCTGAAAAGCCACATAGTGATTGAGCCTTCAAACCCACTGATTCCGAAAAATAAGCAAGATTTGGAAAGAAAACTGTTTTAGTGGGTGGTGATGAAGATTTTTTTCCTAAATACTCTATTTAGATTGGGCTGAGGACAAATGACTCCTGGAAGAAATGTTCACCTAGTCTAGCATAGCAAAGTGGAGACAGTAACTACTTACCTTGAAGTCTTACCTTGACCCACCACACCCACACCTGTCTGCTCTGGAGCATCCATGGCAGACTGTGGGCGGGAGTCCAGGCAGGGGCATTGTCCCAAGTATTAGATATCATTCATGTTTTAAAAAACAAGTTGCCATATTTCAAAGCCTTGAACTACAACTTGATTACCAACTGTCAGTTTTGTGTCCATGCCCAAAGGAAACAGGTTGATGGTGCTTGACAGATGAAGTATGGTGTAATAGGAATATTTATCCAAAAGATTTTAAAAATAGGGTTGTGTAAAAAAAAAAAAAAAAAAAAGGCAGCAAGCGTAGGGAGGTGGCTGCCCGAGTGGCTGGCACTGGTGGCACCTGGCCTGGCTCACGTTCAGTGCTGCAGTGACCCACCATGTGGTCACACACCTCTGCCTGTCACCAGAGAGCGGACTGCGCTTTTCATTCTGCCGGCAGAATCCTGTGTAGACAATCTTYCCGAGAGCAACGGCAGTAAGAGGTCCTGATTCCACTGTGACGTGGGAGGTTTCACCTCAGCTCACCAAGTTTTATCCAAAAACCAGAATCCTCTAAGAGTGAATACCTGTCTGCCACGTATTTCAATCTTAGCCAAAATTGTTTGCGTCTTTGTTACTCCAGAGTAGCGAGGACTGTTTTTCTGCAGCCCTATGGAACTTGCAATCTGTGATTGCCTTGTAGAAGAGCACGTCACCGCACTGCACGCGAGGTGTTCTGAATGCTGGTTGACGGCTGGGAGCACAGTGTATTCGTGTAATGGCATAGACCATATCAGACCTGATTTGCAAGTATTGGGTCTCAAACTTCAAGTGCAATGTATATGAAAACCAATCTGAGCCTTGTATCCTCTTAAATATTTATTTTTTTTTAACGTGGGATGTTCGAGAGAAGGGTTCTCCATGCATTTCAGTGCGCACCGCGGCCGAGCTCAGCAGCGCTTCCCAGCGTGAAGTCTCTTCACTAGACCCTTCACTGAGCCCTCGTCCTCTGACATACTCCGGTTTTGTGGGTTTAGTAATTTTTACTTACCAATTTACCTTTTTTGTATTTTGCAACCTAAGTGTTTGGTTTGTTTGAGTTCTGTGGTAGTGAGGGCTGCAAGACCCCTTTAGAAGAGAAGCCACCGCAGGAGGGGCGTGGGCTCATKGCCCAGGACAGGCACACTGGGTTTCATTCATGTGCCGATCCTCATGGGCTCCTTCTGTTTATTTTGTTTTGAGGAAAATGTCTTGGAGTAAATTCTAGGTTTCTGAAGCTAATTTGTTTTAGAGGAATTTTGTTTAAAAGCAAATGGACCATTCTGAACTTTGGAATGATCCCTTATACATTTTATTAGTGATGAAAACATTTTTCAATGAAGTTGTCAGCATTTTATGCAAACCAGAGTTACTAGATGAAAGCAGTAAGTGAATCTTTAAAATATACTTGATCATGTATAAACAATAAGTATTTTTTCTCTTCAACTGGAAATAAATCTCTTAGAAATGATGTAGCCAAAAAATGTGAATCTGAAGAATTTTTTTGCCAGTAGTTTATAGCAGATATATTGAACCAAAGTGATTTGAATTTGTAAAAATGTAAAATAGTATGAACACAACTTGCACTATGCCATATTTGAACATCTAGTGAGATTCACATTCATACTGTTTTCAACATTGTGTTCCTTTTGCATTCATTTTTTACTTTTATTAAAGGTTCAAAACCAACTATTGTATTTATGGGTTCTTTTTTTTTTTTTTAAAGAGGGATTCATATCCTGTCTAGGTGTCAGAATTTGAAATGGAAGGCTCTTTCATCGATCTTTAGACTTTATGGAATCCCAGCATAACCTGTGGGTATGTTTCTGAACCCACCGCAGTCCCCTCTCCACTGGTGCCCCTTCTCATCTGGGGATTAGAAGTGGGTGGCCTGACACAAGGGCACTTGCCCTGACTCCGGGCTCCTTGCTCCTGGTGCTTGCTCTTGGATTTGGACAGGTGGGATCTCTGCAGCTGCAAATCTTTCCAGAAAAGCAACTGTGTAGCCTCCCAGAACATTTGCACAACCCCCTGGGGATGGAGCCCAGGCTTTGTGGCTGCTAGGCCAGCAGGACCCTTGAGCCACACCCAGCTCTGCTCTACACATGCAAGACAGCTGGTCCAGGTGATGCTGCACACATTTCCCTCTCTACCTCTGTAGACTCCACCTTTTTGCCCAAGAGGAATCTAGTCGTAAGTACGGTGGCTCCAACAGAGAAGGCCCACTTTGAGCACATCTGAACCCGTGTTTTAGAAGTTAAAAGTTTCCTGAAACTTTTCTGGTCTTTAAGCAAATAATTAAATTATGGAAAGTGAGGCATATGGTCCCAAGGGACTCTGCTTTGCTCCTCATGTTGTATGAGCAAAAGCTGGGTCACTAGGCTCACGGTTGGCTGACAGGCGGCTTTACTTAGCCAGCATTCAAAGGCACCATGGTCACACGTAAGGACTTGGAAGACTCCACTGAGTCTAATCAAATCATTCCGTGGCCTGCAGCGTCCCCACTCTTGGATTATTGGTTGCCTGTATCTTAGTAGCAATGATACAGGAAAGAGGGACCATTTAAAATTTAAACTTGCCTTTTCTCCTTCACGTTGMAGTAGACAATCTGCCCATTTCCTGAGTCTCAGATCCTCCGCAATGAGTTAACTATATAGCAGATGAAGTCTAAAATAGGTTAGTATTGTAAAATCTCAACGGAATACTACTGTCTGGCCTCAGCAGATGCGCATTGAGAAGTCTGGCTGTGCTGAGCTAATTCACCACTGTGCTTGAACTTGGAGGGAGGTGGGCTTATAACCAGGGAGTCGGCCACCAGAGAGGCTCTGTTGACTCCCAAATGGAGAGAAATATATGCAAAGAAAGGTAAGAAACGCAGGGGGTGAGAAATCTTGAGTCCTGATACCTGAACTCAGTGCTCCATGGATTTTCTCTGTGAATCTTCGTAAGATTCACACCAGAATTTCTTAACATTTATAAAAACACCTACTAGTACCTGGCACAAGAGAAACTAAATGTTAGTTTTTCTTCTTACCCTGAAATAATGCCATTCTTTGGCCTTTCCCACCTTAGATCTGTTGTAGTGGAAAGGAAAAGGTGCAGGATGTGACAAGTGGCTTCTCATGGCCACTTTTGCTTCCTAGGGTTTCTGGGTGCCATGACCCCTTCCTCCCACCTCTCTCTACAGTTTTTGTTGGGTCCCAGGCTCTGCACATCCCCAAGTTCAGGAACATAAAGATGAAAATTCCACATCACGTCTGGAGGTGTGGTTTTCTAGCTCTGCACATTTTCCTGTTTTGGCAAGTTTTTCACTGAGAGTCGTTTCTTCCCACAGCCTGGAACTCCACCAGACGACCATCCCTCACTCTGTTGTCGCACAGAATCTCCCATGGCCTCCTTGGGCTGCAGATTTGTAACCGTCTCTCACCARTGTCCCCAGCACCCTGCGACCTTGCCAGGGAGGCAGTGGCCCCTTTTCTTATCCTGTTCTGGTGCCCAGACACAGAGCCCGGCCCTAATCCATACTAAGACTCTCGAAGGAATATTGYGGAGATGATGTCATTTACTCCTTCATCTGCTTCCCAGAGGCAGGCACGCTGGCTGGCTGCTGTCACATTTCACTGCCAGCAGCCCACTAGTCACCTTCCGCCCTGTGGACTCCAGGCCACTGCGGATAACACTAAATCGTCCACATCACTTAGGAGAGGCCCACRGAGAGCTCTGCAGCCCCTCCAGGTCAGAGCTGCGTCTCAGCAGGGGCACTGCTCCCCCTGCCTGGACTGCCCTGTCATTGCATGGGCCCTGTCCATGTGAGTGGGCACTGCAGCATGTGGGACTGCTCTCCCCAGGAAGGGAGCTGCATTGGCTTTAGGCCGTCCACAGCCTCCTGCCTCGCTGCCCCCGGGCACAGTGCCTGCCAGGCTGGCAGCTCTGGTGCCACAGCCCCAAGAGCAGTGGATGCTTGGGCAGCACTGGGTGCTGACTGCATGAACATCCTTGGAGGCTTCTGCCTGCCCGCCTGCCCTTCCCACATGAACACTCAGCCTTGAACTTTCATCTTTTGGAGGAAAAACATGGCTCCCTTCAACAGGTGATATCTTGTTGCTTTCAGACATGCCCTGATTTTCTTTCATACCCAGGGAGCCGTCCCCCATGCCAGTTGGTACAGCTGGTGTCCCTTTCTCCTGATTGCACATCAGTCACATTAGTTGCAAAGCCCCGACCAGGGTAGGGTGAATGTGAGCAGAGCAGCTGCAAGCAAAGTTTGCAGGTGGAGATGGCTCTGGGGAGGCGGCCCTGGAGCAGCTTGGTTCCTGGTGAGTCACTCCCTGCACCTGGCTGTGCCATGGGGGACACTTGAGCTGAGGCTATGCTCATTCATGTCCTTCTGAACATCTAACCGGCTGCAGGAGCCAACTGAAGAAAGGTCAGCTTGCCAACAAATCTGAAGGAGCAATCACACAGTCCCACATACCCAGCAGGAGGGTCCCCTGTATTGCCTCCTGCCACGAGCAGAAACAGGTGTTGAGTCCTTAGAAGCTGGGTGCCTGGAAGCCCTTCCCTAAGGGTTCTCATCTGTGAGACTTAGCATTGCTTAAGGTATTTGCAGTTATTCAATTGCTCATTGGGAAGCATGTCACCGAAAGGCTCCCTGTGTGCCAGAGCCATGGCGTGTGCTGGGTGCCCGGGTAGGACCTGGTAGGAATCCACCTGGTCACCAAGGAGATGCAGGTGTGTGTCTGGAGACTTCAAGCTCTCCTGGGGCACTGTTTCTGAGCATCTTAGTCACCCCAACCTTCCCCATATTTGATATTTTAAAGAAAGATATGAACAAAGCAAGGAAAGAATACAATGAAGGAAGGGAGGGAGGGGCGGAGAGAGGGGCTGAGTCGGCTGTCCAGGACTCAGAGGCTGGGCATGCTCAAAACCGTTTTTAACATAAGATAGCCATAGTCTCAAACCCAGTACCCGACAAGATTTGGCTGCTGGTTAAGAGCATGGAGAAGCCTGAGGCCCTCGGATGGTACAGCTGGCCTCCAGCTTCTCTCCTCAGTGGAGGTCCCTTGTCTGGGGATGCCGCAGTCTGGCTGGGCACAGAATCACGAGCCACCACACACCTTGTAGATTCAAACAGCAATTCTTTATTCCCGAACTCACACCGGCCCTCTACAAACACGTTCTGGGGAAATTCAGGTTCTGCCCGCAAAATTCACGTACTCCACCAGGCTTTGAATCCCAAATACTTTCTGAATCCCACGAGAGCTCAACGGGAACTCAGGCAGCAGGATACGCCCTATTC